TGACAAGGTAAATGTGGTAATACCGTCTGTTGGATGAACTTATGTTGGTCAGAGAGACAAGCTTTCCAACTACACAGAACTCTTCTTCAGGTCTTGGAAGAGTCCTGAGAGCGTCACAGCTAAATACAAGATCGAACAGATAGTTTAGCATAAGCCATTAGTAGGGATGTGACTAGTTGCGAACATGGTTAACCAATGAGATTGGGCTCATCGGTTAACCCTCTTAGTTACATGTAGGCCCCTCCCACTTGCTGCCTCTGTTTCAGAGGCAGGAGATGTGGGGGTGGGATCCCACCAGTGCTCCTAGGGAGCTGGTTTAAAAGCAGGCTCCTCCTGCATATACCAGCTCTCACTGAGCTGACTCTCTCTTCTTTCCCCCATGGTGCTGCCTCTGTATTAGAGGGAGCAGTATGGGTGGGGAGGGAGAGGGCAGGCAGGAGCCAGTGCTCGGGGGGAGCTGGCTTTAAAGCTGACTCCCTGCATATACCGGCTCCCACTGAGCCAACTGCTCCCCCTGCCTCTGAAAGAGAGGTAGCGATGGGGGTGGGGAACGGGAGCCGGTACTTGTGGGGAGCAGTGTTCCCTCTAAGCTGCCCAGCAGCACAGCTTCACAGGTGATTAATCAGCCCCGCCCAGTCAGCCAGCTCCCTGCACAGAGAACTGTGCCTGATTGGGCGGGGCTGATTAATCACCTGTGAAGCTTAGAGGGAACCCTGGTGGGGAAGCTGGCTCCGGGCAAGCACCAACTCCTGCCTTCCCTCCCCCGCCCCCCACACATGTAAACAAGTCTCCACAGAAAACTTCACACACATTAGTTTTAAGATCCCTAGTAGTTAGCACATACGCGAAGGGACCATTCTAGGTGAAGTAGCCCACCACTGAGTGGACAGTCTGGTCTCTCATGGCTGAGCTGTGAGTGTAGCAGGTGGCCATTTGACTGAGCTGTAACCTGCTGAAGACTTCAGCTGACACAGCAAACTCTCCGACTTAGTAAATGGACAGAAGGTGTGTGGGTCTGTAAGCATGTGTGCTCTGAAAACATGAGCTACTTATTCTCGTCTGTCAGCAAACTTCCGGTGCAGGGTGCAGAATTTGCTTGCTTCACTGTGCAAGTGTTTACAGTAATGTGATAAAGGATACTTAGCGCCTGTTAATCATTGCCTGCTCTTATTTTTATCATGGAGTTACCACAGTAAGAGAAGAGATGGAGGACAGCTGCGTTCCCCAAATACATATTTTAATTCACTTGAAGCTTTAAGTTATTTTTCACCGGGTATATCAGAAAAAGTTCTAGTGACTAATTTGCTTTCTGCCTTATGCTTGGGAAGTTAGATGATAACTATGCCTCTTTCTTCACGGTTTTACTTTATTACAGTATCTGTCTTCTGGACAATTGGGCAAATGTCTACCTGGACAAATGTCTTATTACACTTATATTGAAATAACTATTCCACTAGAATGATACTGGTGTAAGTCCCTTGTGTGGACACTTGATTTTGGTACAGAATCTTTAGTCTGGCACCCTCCAGTCCTGATTGGTGCTGAACTAGAGAATGTGCCGGACCATGGGAGGTCAATATTGTAGCGAGTATGTCTCTCTTATTTTTATTTTTATTTCACCGAGGCAAATAAATGGAACAGAGTTTGCAATGCTGCTTAGTAATGTATGACATTGCTGATAACCCCTGGCTAGGCGTAGGCTGCTATAGGGTGTATCAGCTCTCTTCATAACAAAGCATTAGTGTTCTTACACAATTTTACTGTATTGGCACAAGGAAATAGTAGATAAAGCATAAAAAGAAGGCTTATGCTTAGCAGTATTACCAGCACTTCCACTGCTTATTGGGCTCTTAGAATACTTTTAGGGATAACATGAGCTTTCATGGGCAAAACCCAGTTCCTCTGTTCATCTGAGGAAGTGGGTTTTGAATATATATAATAGGCAAATGTGTTAGTTTCTAAGGTGCTACAGGACTGACTACTTGTTTGTTTTTTAAAGTTACGGACTAACACGGCTGCCCCTTGGAGACATGTAGGAGTAAATTAGAGCTAAATCACAATACATAATGTGGAGATCCGGAACTGGTGGCTGTAAACAAACTTTATGGGACTGTAGAAAACTTGGCCACACCCATGGGACTAGCTAAACTCATGTAAGACCAGTGTTTTTTTCTTTTTTTGTGGTGGTACTGCCCGGTATGCAGTACCGGCACCTCCAGACGCAGTACCGGCACTTCCAGTCAGAGCTCAACAACTTTTCCCCTGGAGTACCGGCACCTTTTTTTGTTTTTACAAAAAAAGCACCGTGTAAGACCATATGTTGCCAGACCCACAGAGTGCCAGATTAGAGAGGTTCAGCCTGTATAATTACTTGCTTCCAAATGACTCTGTTCATATCTGAATAAAATCACTTTGATCCCAGAATGAAGTGTTTGCACAGGGATTTATAACAGTATTTTTATAGCAGACTAATGATTTTGGTATAGTTATGCCAGTACATTTGCCCATATAGATAATTCATATGCAAAGTAGCCTTGCAAAATTACACTTTTCCAGGGTGAGTAGGCTGTGTACATTTTTCTTTTTTTATTAATAATTGAGTACAGTGTTAGGTTTCTACTTATCCTCTTGATAAGAGTGGATGAGCTGATCTGGTGCCCGGCAGTGGTGGATTAACCACTGGGCCAGTGGGGACCATCCCCAGGGGTCCTGGGCTGTTGGGGAGTAGTAAAAAATTGGGTGACACCTTGTCCAGCTGCCCATATGGTGCTCCTGCCTGGGAGTGGGGAAAGCTGCCACATCCTGGCCCACTCCCCAGCAGGAGCGCTAGGCAGAGCAGGGCTAGCTCTTGCACCCCGGCTCTGTTTTCCCTGGCAGGCTTGTCTTGGGGTATGTCTACACTACAAAGTTAATTCGAATTAATGGACGTTAGTTCGAATTAACTTTCATAGGCGCTACACTAGCGCTCCGCTAGTTCGAATTAAGGGGCTACACAGTCCTTAATTCGAACTAGTAAGTTCGAACTAGACTTAGTCCTCATGCAATGAGGTTTACCTAGTTCGAACTAAGTGCTCCGCTAGTTCGAATTAAGGACTGTGTAGCCCCTTAATTCGACCTAGTGGGAGGCTAGCCCTCCCCAGCTTTCCCTGGTGGCCACTCTGGGCACCACCAGGGAAACTCGTATGCCCCCCTCCCGGCCCTGGAGCCCTTAAAGGGGCACAGGCTGGTTACGGTGCCCGTGCCAGGTGCAAGCCTGCCAGCACCCAGCCAGCAGACCCTGCCCCTGGCACGCCATGAGCCAGCCACCCGATGCCCCCCAGCCCTCTGCCTCTTCCCGAGACCAGGCTGGTGGCTCTCGGGAGCCTGGCCAGGACCGCAAGAGGCGGGCACTCGCCTCGTCTAGTGCAGACATCGTGGACCTCGTCCACGAACTCCGCACTAGGCACAGGAAAGTGGCCGTCTAGGGCAGGAGAGCTGCCAGCCTGGCCACCCAGGAGCAGGTGTGCATGAAAATCAGGGTGGTCCAGTGAGCCCCCCCGACCCTGAGCCCTGAGCTTAGAATGGCCGTACTGGGTCAGACCAAAGGTCCATCTAGTCCAGTAGCCTGTCTGCCAACAGCAGCCAACCCTAGGTTCCCGGGAGGGGATGGACCAAATCCCGTGACCAAGCCATTTGTCTCGTGCTGTCCATCTCCAGCCTTCTACAAACTTTGGGCAGGGACACCATTTCTACCCCCTGGCTAACACCACTCCATGGACCCAACCTCCATGACTTGATCTAACTTCTCTTTAAACTCTGTTCTAGTTCTAGCCTTCACAGCCTCCTGCAGCAAGGAGTTCCACACATTGACTCTTTGCTTTGTGAAGAACAACTTTCTGTTACTAGTTTGAAGCCTGCTACCCATTCCTTTCATTTGGTTTCCTCTAGTCCTTCTATTATGGGAACTAATGGAGAACTTTTCTTTATGCACCCCCTCCACACCACTCTTGCTTTTATAGACCTCTATCATATCCCCCCTCCGTCTCCTCTTCTCTAAGCTGAAAAGTCCCAGTCTCTTTAGCCTCTCTTCATATGGGACCTGTTCCAAACCCCTGATCATTTTAGTTGCCCTCCCCTCTCCCAGCCTCTCTCTTCCCCTCTCCCACCTTTTTTTTCCAGTCTCCCCCAGTTTTGTTCAATAAAGAGAGATTCTATTTTTGAACACACATTTTCTTTATTTTGTACATCAGGAAGGGGGGCTAGGGAAGGGTAAGTGGAAGGAGGTGAGGGAGGAATGGGGTACGAGCCCCCGATGGGGAGGACTGGGCTGGCTCTGCGGACTTTTCGGGGTGGGGGTCGGGTCCCTTTAAGCACAGCCCTCGGCTAGCCTGAGACAGCATCTCCCCGCTCTAAGTCCTCATCTGATGCCCTGCCGGCACTGCTTCCGGCCATCCTTAACCTCTGTTCAGGGTCTACTCTGTGTGGACATGCTAGTTCGAATTAGCAAAACACTAATTTGAACGAGTTTTTAAGTCTAGCTGCGCTAATTCGAATTAGCTTAGTTCGAATTAGCGCTGTAGTGTAGACATACCCTTGGAGAGGCAGAAGGGCCCCCCACTTGCTGTGGTCCAGGGCTCCATAAAACCCTGATGTCTCTGGTGTCTGGGCTAGTAACTATTCAGCATGATTGCAATGAGGCTGGATGCCAGCATTTTGAAGTTCTAAACAGGCCCAGCCTTAGGGCAAGGCAAGCAAGGCGGTAGCCTTCGGTCCCCGCGCCTCCAGGGCCCCACAGTGCCTGATGCCTGCCTGCCTGACCGCTCGCTCGCTCGCTGCCCTGCCTGTGCGGTGCAGCCAACTGCAGACCTCAGGAATTCTCATACTCTGTATACAACTTACTCAGTTAAAGCCACCTGGCTTAGAAATAACTATGTTCTCCTTAATTGTCTCTTGTCTGACCTGTCTGCGCTGACTTCTAACTGA